ATCTCCTTCAGATACAGTCTTGTGTGTGTGTGTGTATATATATATATATATATATATATATATATTTCTAGATAGAGTAGTGCTATATTATTTATTTCCTCCAGCGTCGGTCTCCTCTACCTGGGCTTCTTCGTAGAGGGCCTTCGTACCCGATCACATGATTCTGAAACTGCTGTTTGACCCCTTAACCCTGTGAATTTCTCATAATCTTTCTACATTTCAATAATCCGAACACAGGGACAGATTCGTTCACGATATAGCGAAGATGCCGCTCAAGAGCAGATCGCTTTCTGCAGAATACTTTCTCAGGTATCGTATAGACTCATCACTGTCCAAACAAAAGATTATTTTATAAAATATAAGATCGCGGATGGATCATCGTGAGCTTTGGGACTCAATAATCAAATTATTTATTAGCAGACTTAGTTGTGAACGAGGGCTGAACCACTGGACCTCACGTCGAGACGCGTGCGAGAGTGAGACTTAGCAATAAAAACCAAACGAATATTATTAAAATCAAATACTGCCCCACGAACAACTCGCGATTCTCTTTATATCTGTTCAGAAGTGATATTTTTGCATTGTGTTTGAAGAATATTATATTTGTTAAGAGAAAGAAACGGATTAGTTTGTTTGTTTATTTGTTTGTATGTATGAGGTCAATGTTTTTTCCTTTTGGTCTTGTATTCTCGTGTAGTTGGAATGGAAGCAAATGTATTGGCGTCTTTGCTATTGCTATTCGTATTATTATTGTTATTGTTATTAATACTATTATTATTATTGTTGTTGCTATTTATATCCAAGGGACATTATTTGTAGAGGTAGACTTTGTTATAATCACATGTAGAAGTTGAAACACTTTTCCAATGCCTTGTCAGGGTTTTATTTGATTTCTCCTGCTCCCAAAACACAGAATCAAAGCCTGCAACCTGCCACCAAATCAAACTGCACAGCCCTGCGCTGCTGTCTGGCATCTGCGTGTTACTTACAGTGGGGAAAATATTTATTTAATCCCCTGCTGATTTTGCAAGTTTGCCCACTTACAAAGAAATGAAGGGTCTGTAATTTTATGGTAAGTTTATTTTAACGTATAGAGGCAGAATACAAACCAAAAAATCCAGAAAAAACGCATTATATAAAGGTTAGAAATTGATTTGCATTTCAGTGAGTGAAATAAGTAGTTGGTCCCCAAGCAAAACATGACTTAGTACTTGGTGCAGAAACTCTTGTTGGCAAGCACAGAGGTAAGACGTTTCTTGTAGTCGGTCACCAGGTTTGCGCACATCTCAGGAGGGATTTTGGTTTACTTCTCTTTACAGATCCTCTCTAATTCCTTAAGGTTTCTTGGCTCTCGAAGTTTCAGCTCCCTCCACAGATTTTGTATAGGATTGAGGTCTGGAGGCTGGCTAGGCCACTCCATGACCTTAATGTGCTTCTTCTTGAGCCACTTATTTTGTATTTCTTCCATTTCCGAATAATCGCACCAACAGTTGTGTCCTTCTCACCAAGCTTCTTGCTGATGGTCTTGTAGCCCATTCAAGCCTTGTGCAGATCTACAATCTTGTCTCTGACATGCTTTGACAGCTCTCTGGTCTTGTCCATGGTGGTGGGAGAGGTTAGAATGGAAGATACAGATTGTGTGGACAGGTGTCTTATACACCTAACAAGCTGACATTAGGAGTAACTTCTTAAAGTGGCAGGACTAATCTGTGTTCCACATGGGCACATAACCAATCTGTGGGAGCCAGAATTCTTGCTGGTTGGTAGGGGATCAAATACTTATTATCAATTTCTAACCTTTATATAATGTGTTTTTTCTGGATTTATTGGTTAATATTCTGTCTCTAGCCTTTAAAATAAACCTGCCATAAAAATTACAGACCCTTAATTTCTTTGTAAGTGGGCAAACTTACAAAATCAGCAGGGGATTAAATAAATATTTCCCCCACTGTATTCTTTCACTCAAAATTTCAGTTTTCTGTTTAGGGTTGGGCGTCTAGATTCCCATCGCACCAAAGTTTTCTGTGCAGTTTTTGCAGGCTCGGTCGTGCTTAATCTCAGGAAAAGTCGAGGGAAAGAATGCGCCGTCGCAGATAAAGACGCGTGATACTGACTACTGTATTCTACACGCCTGGCTGCCGTATTCTAGACTTGAAGTATATGAGAGAAAATGCGAATTGAATAGGAATATTGCTCGAGTATTGCTACAAGTTCTCTGCTTTTGATATGTTTTTTTTTTTTTTTTTTTTTTTTTGATAAATTTTATGCAAGCAGTTTCGAAACTTGATTGGTAATGAACAAAACAGTCTAGTTCCCACGAGGCTGTGATTGGCTCCAGTTACTCAACCATTCAGATGTGTTCCTGCTCCTTTTGTCCTGACAACTTGCCAGAATTTACAGAAAATTCAAAGAAATCACAAATGAACACTTTAATAATAAAAACGAAACATTTATTAAAACTGCTACTGATTGTATGTTTTGTTGTTGTTGATATTGTTATATTATTAATGTTTCCAGTTAGAATTCTGTTCAGCACTTTTACTTTGGGCTTCTTTGTTTTATCCCAATATTTATGAGTTTAGATGGAACTGTAAATAGTGTAAACAAATGTGCCTTTTGACTCATTCTGAACGTTTTCTACATTTAACAGAAGGAATATATTGTACTGCAATATCATTTTTAACAAACAATAAAATTTTAAGAGTTTGTTCAAAATGTTTCTTTTCCATGTCGGTCAGTTTTATTTCTAGAAGCATCTTTACACAGTTGAGTTGAAGCTGCTCTGTGCCTGCAATTAAACAGATGCCATTTCAGAATTGCTTCTGTGCCACTGTAAATTCTGTTGCATTGTAAATTTGGCAAAGGTGTGTTTTTGTTTTTGTTTTTCCCCCCAGGGGAATACGTGAGGTGCTAATCAAGAAATACTATGTTAATACCAGAATATGAACATGCTCTGCGCCTGCCCATAAGGTGTAAAGATAAAATGCTGCATAAAAGCCAGACTAAAGTATTCCTGTTCAGCCCCTAGTATGCATATATGAGCAGATATAATAAGCAGCATTTAACAAACTCTGTGTAAAGACACCTAAATGCCAAAAACGCTTCTTCGCAGCATAAATTTGGTATTAGAGTATCGTAGAATATGAATATGCTCATTCAGCTTCTGTACTATGGTATTACCATCTCATACCATCTAAATCTGTTTACATAGATTTACATGTACACATTTTTAACTATTTTTTTATTAATTTAATTAATGCACATTTTTGTTTTAATTAAAATAACGTTTTATTTAAATTAATACAAATTATTTTATTGATTGTCTAAACCGGTTAGAGGCGTCATATGACAATTTGAGTTCCGCAAAACGAACTTCACTATATTGTGTACCAAAAATAATAACTTTTTTTCAATTAAGGGGAGAGACACTGCAGTTTTTTTTTTTTCGTGCACCTGTCAAGTTTGAGATTTTGGGCTTTTTGGTTTTTCATACAGTGTTTTTTCAGACTAGTGGACAGAAAACATTCAAAAGACACTGTTAAGTGTTTCTTTTATAGCACTTTATTTATTTGTGTCAATAGATTTCAATTACACTATATTTTTAAAGGCCGTTTTCTCAAAAAGAGTTTTTTCTCCTACACTGAGCCATAAATCTCCACTTCAGTAGCACTTACACCAAACTTTACATTTGTATTCCTGTCTCCTGAAGGCTTTTACAGAGGGAATTATATATAATTTGCTTGATTATATACATTTTATTCCCCCCAAAATTGTGAAAATGTATTGCTTTCTGTCTGTTCTAAGTATTTTCTGAATTATGAAGTGAAAAAAAAAAAAAAAATGAGATACCCAAAATTCCCTCTGTAAAAACATTTGACTCTAATATCTGAGCCTGGAGCACAAAACCAGTCATAAGGGTCAATTTATCGAAATTGAGATTTATACACCATCTCAAAGCTGAATAAATAAGCTTGTTAGGATCGGACAATAGTTGGCTGAGATACAACTATTTGAAAATCTGGAATCTGAGGGAGCAAAAAAATCAAAATATTGAGAAAATCATCTTTAAAGTTGTCCAAATGAAGTTCTTAGCAATGCATATTACTAGTCAAAAATTAAGTTTTGATATATTTACGGTAGGAAATTTACAAAATATCTTCATGGAACATGATCCTAATGTTTTTTGGCATTAAAGAAACTATAATTTTGACCCATACAATGTATTGTTGGCTATTGCTACAAATATACCCTGCTACTTGTTATGACTGGTTTTGGAGTCCAGGTCACATGTCAAAAAAAAAAAATTAAACCAGAATTTTGAAACTGACTTCATCCAGTGTTCAGATTTTTGTACTAGAAATTTATGCAAATTACCGCATATGCAACCTAATATTTTAGAAAACTTTGTTTGCAATTATCAATGTAATCAATCAGCTACGTAATGCAATAACTATTAGTTAAAAAAAATTTTTTACCCTATTCACCTGCAGTGACATTTTCTCAGTAACTGTAACTAATTACATTTATTTTGTAATTAGGTTAATTTAATTAGTTACTCCCCAACACTGGTCACATGACAATTGGAGGTCCGCGAAGCGAACCCCAATATATTGTGTCCCAAAAATAATTACTTTTTCCATTAAAGTCCTTTACCTCGACACAAAGTAAGAAACCTGTGCTTCCTCGAGACCGGCGCGCGCCGCAGCAGGAAGAGAAGGCCAGCGCGAGCAACTGAACTATGATGATGATGATGATGAT